CTGCAACGAAACCCCAGAACAGGGTTTGGGGGGTCTGCAACATCACAGGGTCTTCCTGCCCATCCAAACACTCCAAATTCCGTAAGAGCACACTCTGAGCTGACTTGGGATTTCAGCCCCACGGCACCTGGGAGCTGGGGGTCACGGCAGTGCCCAACCTGTGCTCTGGGCATGGATCAGGACAAGTGCTGGGGTCTCCACCAACTCTCTCCTGAGCATTGAACCCCCCAGCCCTGCTCCAGCAGCATCCCGGGGATGCTCCATCCCCTGCCTGGCTCTGGGACACCTCTGCTGGGCAGGCAGGACCCCGACCCGCCGCCCCCGGCCCCTCCGGCCCTGGCGAGGGGGAACTCATGGCATGAAGGAGCTGGCCAGGCCCGGCTGAGACATGGCAGAGGGATGATGGAGCGACGTTGGATGCTTTTCCACCTGGTAGGAGGAACCGCAAGCATTTTCTTATGGGAGAACCCAACAAACCCCCAAATAATAATTAAAGAAAGGAGGAACGGAAGAAAGAAAGAAAACCCTTCGGGGAGGAAGAGTTTCTTTTTCATTAATAAGCTGCCTTTACTTGGTTTCTTTGGCTCACTCCATTGCTGGAGCCTGATCCTCAAATGATACCCTAGTGGAGTCCCTGAAGTCGGGGTGCCTCAGGTCCATGAGAAATTTGGTGGGAGTGAGAATGTGAGTAGAACCTGCAGGAGAACAGAGCGGGGCTGAGGGCTGTGCCAAGACTCCCCCACCACCACCACCACCTTCTTTCGGGGTGAGGAAGGACGCGGTTGCCGTCAGGAGCATCGTAGGCGCATGCAGGGAATGGTCCCCGGAGAGAGGCAGGATGAGATGCATGAGAGGCAGGATGAAGCTGGACTTGGGGGTCTGGTGACAGGGGGAAACATCCAGAGGCAGCAGGAGGTGATGGAGACTGGGATGCTGCTCCCAAGGAGCAGCTGAGGTGCTGGTGACAGGCTTGACCAGACATCCCAGGCAAGAATCCACAGACCAGATGAGATGGTAAGGAGCACCTGCCTCTGCCCTACAAGGTGTGTATCCAAGCCACAATTCCCAGAGGAATTTTAGTGGACCTACAAGCTCCTTGCTAACATCTGGGAGAGCTACCACTGTGTCCTCTATACCCAACTCATGGCCACATTCTCCCAGGAGACCTAAATGTCCTTTGCTAATGTCTGGTAGAGCTTCCACTGTGTCCTCTACAAGGTGTGTATCCAAGCCACGCTTCCCAAAGGAACTTTAGGAGACCTACAAGCTCCTTGCTAATATCTGGTAGAGCTTCTTCTGTGTCCTCTACAAGGTGTGTATCCAAGCCACCACTTCCCAGAGGAATTTTAGTGGACCTACAAGCTCCTTGCTAACATCTGGGAGAGCTACCACTGTGTCCTCTATACCCAACTCATGGCCACATTCTCCTCCAGGACCAAAGATGAGATGCTGAGACTCAGCACACACGGCACGTCCTGCTGCACAGACAACACGTGTGCAACAGGACAATGTGTCACCTGGTGCACACACAGGGCACATCATGACTTGCACACCTCTGTTTTGTTACTCCTCCCTGCAATGACTCCAAGAATGACCAACCCACATGCAACAAGAGCAATCCATGCTACAAAACCTCCTTCCCTCTCCTCTAGCCCTGCTCAGATGAAACCAACCAGGGAGACAGAACCATGGGAGCAAAAAATGAGGATGGGTGGAGGGATGTAACCCAGATGGGAGAAGAGACACACACGGGTGACAAGGGATGTCAAGGAAATAAAAAACCTTTCCGCAGAGTTCCAGCTCCCGCAGGCGTCTGGAGCCGGGAGTTTGCGGGATGGAGCGTGGGATGAGCAGCCAGTGCCAGGGGCAGCCCCGGGGCACACTCACCTATTAGCACCTCCCACTTGCCGCTGGCTTGTGTCACCTCGTAGGCGCAGCGCATCTCGTTCATGCTCACCCCACCCAGGATGAAGATGATGAGGCGAGGACCACTGCGGTACTCGCCCGGAGCCTTGTTCTTGTGCCAGTGGCCATAGCGGGCGCTGAGGGGAGGAGAACAGGGATGAAGGATGGGGAACAAGGCACATTGCCTTAGTTAAATCATACATCCATGAGCTTCCAGATTGCTGCTAAAACATGTAACGTGCAGCTAGGGAAAGTGAGGCACAGGATGTCTGAGGGGAGATTGAAGAATGGGATGCCTGAGGGGAAGCAGAGGCATGGGATGTCTGGAGGGAAATTGAGACATGGGATGTCTGGAGGGAAATTGAGACATGGGATGTCTGGAGGGAAATTGAGACATGGGATTCCCAAAGGGAAATGGAGCATAGGATGTCTGGAGGGAAACTGAGGCACAGGATGCCTGTATGGAAACTGAGGCATGGGATTCCTGAGGGGAAACTGAGGCATGGGATTCCCAAAGGGAAAGCACATGATGGCTGAAGAGAAATTGAATAGGATGTCTGAGGAGAAAACAGAGGCATGGAATGTCTGAAGGGAAATTGAGACATGGGATTCCTAAAAGGAATGGGGCACAGGATGTCAGGAGAAACAGGCATGGGATGTCTGGAGGGAAATTAAGATATGGGATTCCTGAAGGGAAACTGAGGCATGGGATGCCTGAAGGAGTGTGGAGCAGCTCACAGCCCTGCTGCTGGATCCACCCCTGGGATCAGTGTGGGATGGATGCTGGGATGGATGCTGTGGGTGACACAGTGTGCAGCTAGAGGGGGAGGACAGGAGGACCCACCTGACTGCAGTGGTGCTGAAGGAGGCGGAGGAGCGGGTGGAGATGTACGGGTAGTGCTTGGTGTCCAGCTTGTCCTCGATGGCATCCTGTGGGCAGACAGCCACAGACTCAGGGTCAGCATCCCTGTTCCCAGAGCCCCTGGGGATGGCAGTGCACAGAATTCCCCTCCTGGGAGGCTCATGGGCATGAGCTGAGCTGGAGGTTTCAGCCCTATGATCCACCTCCCAGGGCAAGGGACTCCCTGTTGCTTCATCAGTGGTGGAGGGTTAATGTCATCTGGGAGACCCTAGTGAGGTGCTGCTGCCCTGGGCAGACCCCTCTGGGCCTGGGAATGAGGTTTAGGGGTGCCCTGAGGATGAAGGCACCAAGGAGGGGTTTCCAAGGATTGTGGCAGGGGAAGCCAAGAGCTCTGTGCTTTGGAAATCAAAGGAGCTGCAGCTCTGTTTGTCTCAGTGCCTGTGGGCAGAGGCAGCACGGAACTACAGTGGTATCTCCTCCCCAAAATGTGGCTCTAGGGTCTGTCTGTCTAAGCAGATGGAATGTCTGTGCTGCAGAGCAGTTTTGGTGCCTGGGATCCCCTGGCTCTGGGCAGATCCCAGGACTTTGCTCTGATCCACGGGATGGCACAAACTGAGTGGGTCAGGAGGAAGGCAATGCCTGGAAAAACTCACTTTTTGGCTCTGCCCAGTGCTACCCAAGCACAGAGCACATAGGGTAGCTCCTGTGGGTACAGGCACAGAGCCATGCCTGTCCTTGGATCAGCTGGGACATGGGCAATGGGTGGTGAGACACTGTCCCAGGTTGCCCAGGGAGGCTGTGGCTGCCCCAACCCTGGCAGTGTTCAAAGCCAGATTGGCTAAAGCCTTGAGCAACCTGTTTTGGTGGGAGGTGTCCCTGCCCAGGGCAGGAGGTTGGCACTGGATATCTCCAAGCACCATTCCAACCCCTAAAATTCTATGATTCTAATGCTGTGACAAGGCCATCCAGCCATGCCCATGGTGGGACACACACAACCAACCAGTTTGTTACTGTCTTTCTATCACAGGGATGTCATGCAGGCCCAGCTGGGGCTGTGCATCCCACCTGGGTTCAGAAGAACCTCCCAGAACATCCCAACTGTGCTGCAGTTGCAGGCAATGAGCAGCCTGGAGGGCATGAGGCAGGGAGAGGTGTCTGGGTTTGGGCTGGAAGCAGCCAGCTCTCTCCAGGGCCCTTCCTGGGGTCCCTGCTCTGTCTCCTGCCCCTGTCCTTTCTGACTCACCTCCATGATGTCCTTAATCACTGGGGTCCATCGGGAGAGCTGGTAGGTTTGCTCGCTGATCCGCTCCTTCCGCTCCGGCTTGCTCCGGCGGCGCAGGGTGGACTGGGCAGAAAGAGCACAGGGACACCCTGAGACACAGGGGCTGTGGTGGGGAGACCAGAGACACCCCAGAGGGCCATCCCAGGTGGCTCCCAGAGTGGAGCAGGTGCCATGCTCCTCCCTCCCAAGGGGACACAGGGAGCGGGAGGTGGGCACTCACGTCTGTGATGATGGGCACCCCGAGGTGGGCCATGTTGGTGATGATCTCACTGTCCTCTGCTGGGATCTGAGCGTGCTGGATCAGCTTGTTCAGGTTCTCCTCAGTGATACCTGGAAGTGCAAAGGGGAGATGGTGTCCTGAGGAATGTCTCCTGTGGGGACACAGCCCTTCCACTGCTGCCTCCCGACACCCAGCCTGGTGCCGGTCAGGGAGGCAAGACTGGGCTTTTCCACCAGCTCATCCTGGCTCAACCTGGAGCATCCTGCACCCATCCCTGCCCAGGTGTCCTCCTCACCATTCTTCAGGAAGATGTAGAGCAAGATGATGCGGATCTTGTCATAGGTACTGACATTCCCATCCAGCAGGATGGGCACAATGGCCCTCATAGGGTCCTTGATCTTCTCACCTTCAGCATCAGTGCCCATGGCCAGGTCCTGTAGAGAACACATGTGCTCATCACCCCTCCACCCAGGGAGGGAGCTGCCAGTCCCTGTTGTCCCCGTGGGGCTGGGGGAGCTGCTACCTGCTCAACTCGGCACAGCTTGTCCACAGTGCCCTGGTAGTGCTTCATGCAGTCCTCAGCCAGGTGCAGGTGGGTCGAGTACTGGGGAGACATGAGTGGTCAACCCTGCAGTGCTGGCAGCAGCTGAAGGTCCCTGTGCCACCACCCATGGCCAGGGACCCTCCAGGAAGGGCTGCCAACTCCTGCTCCCCAAGTGGGCTCAGTCACTCTGCAGACATCCCTCCCCTCATACCTTGCTCAACTCCTTCTGGTACTGTGGCATCTTCTTCAGCATCTGGGACAGGTCTCTCATGGTGGTCTGTGAGGAAAGGGGAGATGGTCACTCACCCTCAGGGACTTGGGGACCATGAGCAGAGAGGGGATGACCCTGCCAAGGACTTCTGTCTCCATGCAGCCCCTCATGGGGGTTTGGTGACACCTGACATGTCATTGCCAGGTTTCCTCCACTGCAGATGACTGTCAGGGGACAAATCCCCTGAGGACTTCCCTCCAGGACCCTAGTGCATCTGCCTGGGGCTGAGATGGTCCCTTCAGGTCCCAGCCACTTTCACATCCTATTTCCACTGGGGTCGCCTCACTGCCACCAACTCAGGGGCTCTGCAATGGAACTGGTGGGGACAGAGGCAGCTCCTGTGGGAGGCACAAGGACCCTGTGTTGGGGCAAATTGACCCCACAGTGCACTGCCTTCCCAAGGCACCCTGTTTCCCCAGTCCTGCGTATAGGGCTGGCACCCTACAGCCATCTGCCCCCCTCAGGGACCTGAGCACCCTTGTCCCTTCACAAAGGTCCCCACTGGGTGTCCCCAGGAGACTCCACCATGTGCCAGCCCATGGCTGAGCCCCTTGGATGCCCATCTGTGGCTTGGTGGATGCATTCAGGTCACCTTATCGCCCGTGTTCATCCTCTTGCTTGAAGAAAACTCCTTTAGGGACCGAGTCACCTCCCTGGGGAGAGGAGGAGGGCAGAGATGTCAGCAGGGAGGGGACCCTCACCGCAGGGAGGGTGACAATGCCAAGCCAATGTCCCACCCAGCTGGCAAACCAACCACAGGGACACTCACTGGGACACCTCAGCGATGTGTTTGTGGCGCAAGGTGACCCACAGGTCATCATCCTCATCCAGGAGAACCTCCTTAATCCGAGCCTCGCCGATGCCGCTCGTCTCGTACCTGGAAGAGGGGAGGAGTGTCATGGGGGGAATGGGACTGGGGGCCACACAGTCCCCTCACTGCCTGGGATCAGGGAGCTGAGGGAACATGGAGGGACCTGGGGGGACATGGCAGCTCTTCTTGGCTCTGCCAGCAGCAAAGTGAAGTAATTTCTACTCAGTTTCACCTCTCACCTTCTTATACCCCTTCAACTACCAAATGGTAGGAAGGGGCCAAGAGCTGAAGGCTGGAAAAGCCCCTTTGGCATCAATCCTGCCAATCACACCCACCAGACTGCAGGCAGGACTGGGTTCTCCCAAACAATGCGATGGATTGAGGGAAGCTGAGCTTCCAACTCCTGCCTGAGGGCTGGACTGGGGAGTCCATGGGAGTGGTGGGGACAGCAGCTCTGCACTCACTTGTAGACATCATTCTCAATGGGCAGCAGGTCGTAGCTCATGGCCTGGAAGGTCAGCTCATGCAGCACTGGGGAAGCAGGGTCAAAGCCACGGTCCAGGATGAGGAGCTGGGAGCGAGCCTTGTCCGGACCCTGCAGAGCCAGGAAAGCTGTCAGCAGCAGGGCCAGGGGCTCTGCCAGCCCCCAGGTGCTCAGGGGAAGCCAAGGCTGTTTTGGGGTCCCCACTCAGGGTCTGTGACTGCCATGGGGCAGAGCTCAAACAGAGCTCTAGGAGTGAAGCATCACCCCAGTATCCTCCTCCAAGGCTGCCAGCACCACTCACCTCGCCCATGGTGGGGTCATCAGCTTTGTAGGCATCCAGCTTGTCCTGGATGAGCTGTGCCAGCATGGCATTGTCCTTGTAATCCCTGGAGGAGGCATGGGGAGAGGTCAGGGCAGGGGATAGGGAGGAGATGCAGGTTGCCCTGCATAACATCCTTGGCTCATGCGAGAGGAGGCACCTGAGCAGGTTTCGTTTCCCATTTCCACCTCTCCTTGGGGAGCTCCCCTTTGCCTTAGTGCCACCTAGATTTTAGGGTCCCAACCCCACCAGAGCAACAAATCTGAGCCTGTTTACACTGAGCATGGATGTCTGCCCGTCCCACCATCCCCTCCATCCCCGCACCCTCACAGCACCAGACACAGCATGGCCTCATCCAAGGCCTGTGCTTAGCACAACCCCAGCCCCACCACACTGCTGGGGGAGCAGGCAGGTCCTAGGAGTGCCAACCACACTGCCCTTACCCCCGGTACCGCACGGCTGGGTACTCCTTCAGAGTGGCACACAGCGTGGCAATCTGCTCTGCCAGGCGCTCCAGGATCGGGTTCTTCATCTGCGCTTTGTGAGGGCTGTAAAAGCTTTGGAAGGAATCAGCTGAATCCAGAGAGTAAACCTGGGGGTGCAGTGGGAAGAAGGTTAGAGGGGATATCTGGAGGAGAGCAGCCCCACTGGGCAGGTTTGGAAACCACATTCATCCCCAGATGAAGGGCCCAGGCTCATCAAGCAGCCAGAGCTCAGTGATGCTCAGGGCATCCCTCAGGCTTTCAGCTGACAGCTCGGGACCCTGATGGACTTCCTAGATCCCAGTTCTGGCTCCATGGCATGCTCTCCACCCACATGTACCCCCCAGGTGAGCAGAGAAAACCCCCTGCCCACAGCGTTAACCTGCTCCCAAGCAGAGAGCCAGAGATGTGGGGATGAGCAGGGACATGCTGCTCCCACACTGTGTCCCTGGTAAGGACCAGTAGCCAATTTGGCTGCTCATGGAGATGCTAAGAGTTCATCTTCCACCTGCCTATCTCCCTAGTAATGCTGAGGCTTGAAGGGTTAATGGCACCAAGCGGGTCTGGTACCATCTGTCCCTCCCTGTCCCCATGTCTGCAGCAGGGGCAGATGGCACAGGGCCAGCTCCTGGTGTCCTTGGCTGGTGGCTGGACAACGTGGCTGCTGGCATGGGGCCAAGGCACAGCACCCACTAAATCCCTGCGGCAGATCAGCCCCAGAAGTAATCCAAGGAGACAGAGAAGAAGAGCAGAGCAGGGCTGAGGAGTCAGCCAGGAATGTGAGCTTGTTACACAAACCCTGACACAGAGCATCCCTTGGTTATCCCATCCCCTGCACCACCCCAGCAGGGACAGTCCCCAGCCTGACCTTACCTGGGACTCGGAAGGGAGGAAGGCAATGTTGATCTCTGTCAGGGTTTTGATGACCTTGGCAGCACGGGATTTCACCAGCTCATTGAAGAGGGCATCAGGGCAGGCTGCGAGGGCAGGAGGAGAAGGAAGGTAGTGCTCAGCATCCCTCCATCCCTGCTTGCTTGTACCCTTTCAGTGACCTTCCCTCCCCTCCAATTACTCACAGTCAGTGAAGAAGACATGGGCAGCTCTGTACTTGGAGGTGGGAGGATCCTTGAAGTCATTGATTAGGGAGTGGATGGACTGGAAAAGAGAAGAATCAGCTGAGCTGGGCAGGGTGGCACTGTAGGCACCTAGGCAGCATCACCCACCATCCTCCCTCCTGGCACAGGGGAAGCTCTGTACCTCCACCCCACTGCCCTAGCAGCACTGCTGGCCTCACTGGAGCCAGGATGCTTCCCATGGGCACAGCTGTCCATCCCAGCATGGACATCCCTCCACCTCACCTGGGCCAAAGGACATGTCCCTGCACCCCACACTCTGTCCTCACCTTCTCGGAGGGAGTGATGAGATAGACAGCCTCCAGGCTGGGCAGCGGCTCCCGGCGCTTGTTGATGTCTTCCACAACTGGGGGAAAAAACAGGGATCATGGCAGGGACAGGTGTGGGCAGGGGCACTCAGCTACACAGTGGATATCCCACGGCAGCATGGGGAATTTCATGGTTGGATAGCCCAGAGCAGCACAGGGGATGTTGGATATGCCGTGGCAGCACAGGACTAGCCCTGCCAATCCCTCCATATCCAACACACCTCCAGCCACCCACCCCTGCTCACTCAGAAGCTGGTGCAGGGGCTGTGCCCACCCTTCCCAGTCCTGTTATACCCCCTTGGGGCTGTGTGTGGGCTCCTGGCCAGGTCCCAGAGGCTGTGGATTCGTCTGTGCTACTGTTCCCTTGATTTATCCTCATATCCCCCCATGGAGGGGACCATCTGGGAGTGATGCTCTGGCTGTACCCAGGCTGGGGCAAAATCCCACTGGCCCCAACACCTTCCACCAATGTCCAGCCTGGGGTTTCCTTCTCATTTCTGAGTGCTGCAGGGAGCTATTTATTTATAGGGCTGATATAAACCAACACCTGCCTCCTCCTCGGACTGAGATACTGCCAGGAGACAAGGTGTTCTGGCTGCTCCAGCCCCAGCAGGCAAGGAGGGACCTGTGAACACCAGCCTGGCACAGAAAGCCATCCATGAGCAGTGGGAGGTGGCATGGATCCATCCCACGTGGGATGAGGCTGTTTGCAAGCTGTGCCAACTGCCTTGTGCCAGCCTGGAGATGCCTTTGCAGATGCCCTGGTAGAAAGGGAGGTTTTGCCCTCCCCACAGGGAGGTGTGTGGGATGCAGGCAGCTGGTACTCACTGGTTATGCCCTCTGTCATGATGTCTGTCATCTTGCAGCAGGAGGAGAGCATGCGCATGCTGAGCTGGTCCACCACCAGCACCTGGGGAGAGGAGCTGTGAGCTGGGGGCACAGCAGGACCTGCCCTTCCCTACCCTGCCCACAACTGCCTCTCTCTTCCCTGCTTCCTCCTCCCCACCCTCCTCCTCTGCTCCTGGCCCTCCACGTTTGGTGCTCACCTTCCATTCTCCCTTCTTCTTCACTTTCCGGATCACATCGTGCATAATCTCTGGAAGAAAGGGAATAAGGGGAAGGATGAGCACTCAAATTTCCTCCCCCCTGTAGCATCCCAGAGCCTGTCAGCAGTGGGGGCTGCGCTGGGGGCACCAAACCCCCCACCCATGTGTAGGGTCACAGCAAACTCCACTCCCCCAGTGCCTTAACTGGGGACGTGGGGAGGGGATGGGGTGGCATCCAGGGAGGAGTAGTCACCCCCCAGTCCTGTTTTCCTATCATGCTTGGCACTAACAGATGGAGCCCAGGCTGGTGGGGAGCGTGGGCTGGCAGAGGGTTGGGGGGTCCCTCTGCACCCCACATGTCTCAGCCCTAATCCGAAGTGTTGGGAAAACAACAGCGGCTTAAGAGCTCCTTTTAGAAACAAGAATCAAGCGGCCTGAGCCTGTTCCTTGTAATCCCTCACAATCCCATTTCACCTCCCATGGCTGCTGGGCTTATGCAACCAGCCAGGATGGCAGCACCCACGGGGCCCCCTGCACCCCAACCCTCAGGGAGGCAGGTCCAGGCCACACGAGGAGGTGCTCCTGGCAGTGGGATGAGGGTGTCACCTCTGGGGCTGGGTGGCAGCAAGGGGGTTTCAAGCCTTGCCATAGTTGGTACTTGCCCTCCTGCCAGACACATGTGCTGCCTAAATCTTGCCCACATCTGTGTTGGAGGACATGAGGTGCCCCCAAAACCCTGAATGTTTCCTTTGATCCTGGTGTATGAACCACCACTCCTCACAGAGCAGCGATGTGCTGGGGGATGCCCAGGTGAGCTTGAGGAAGAGTCTGAGTCATGTCCTCACACAGCACTTCTCCCTGGATTTCATCCCCTGAGGGTTTTGCTCTGACCTCCTGGTGCCAGGGACAGTGATAGAAATGCCCAATTAAAGCCTAATTAAGAACTGTTTCTAAATTAGAAAACACAAGATGTGGGAATTTTGGACGTTTGCTGAGGGTGTCACCCTGCCAGCCTCAGACTTGGGACCCTTCCCTGTGGGAGTCACTCCAAGGGTGCCAGTTCCCTGGGTGAAGCCCAGTGGGACCCAGAGCCATGGCACTAGTGCCAGCAATAAAACAGGAGCCTGTGAGCATTGTTGGTCTGTCTGTCCTGCTGTACAACCTGGAGACAGCCATTCCTACCACTGCACATCCATCTCCTTCCCAGGGACATCTGTCTCAGGGGAGTCACAGAAGGATGCTGGTCTTGAATTCAGGATCCTGCCTGCCCTTGGTCACATCCTTCAGCCTCTCCATGGGTAAAGAAGGTAGAGGATACCTCCAGGCCAGGGAAGGGGGATGGACAGTAACTGTACCCCTAAGGTGGACACTGCTGGAGGGGCAAAGCTGCTGTCTGCACCCATGTGTGCTGCCCACCCACATCCAGTCACCCACACAGCAAGAAAGTGAACTAGGAATTGCCCTCTGCCATGGGAAGGAACAGGCAGTGAGGGCTGTCCATGCATCCCAGTCCTGCTCCCTGTCCTTTGCTGGCGCAGCCGCAGGGCCGGGAAGGAGGGATGTGCTGGCATCCCTCCTCTTCCTTCCATTACTCACATTTGGCTCCTTGTCCAGAGCAAGGATCCAGCAATAACAGCACTGTTTACAAGGCAGCACAGTGGCTTCATCTCATCCCACCACCTCAATCCCAAAGGATGGGGAGTAAAGCCCAGGGAGCCATGGCAGTGCACCATGTGCCCAGCGGTGAAACAGGATGGGAAAGGGTTGGGAAGAAGCAGCAGCCAGAAAGAAATTCAGCCCCTGAGATGAAAATACTACCAGCTCCAGGGCTAGCAGGAAGGAAGGAAGGAGGCTGGGAACGAGCATCCTGGGGCCTAGGAGAAGGTGCTGTCAGAGTAAAGGCTCCCATGGATCAGCTCCCAGCACCCTCCATTTGCTGCAATGAGGGAGGGACAGAGGCCCAGGGCAGGGAAGCACAAAAAGGACTCCCAAATTGCTGCCTCAGCCACCCCTGAGCTTGTCCTTGCTGTGGCAGTCGCTGCAGGGGACATTTAGTCTTCAGCATCCGGTTTTGTGGGAATGCTGTGTCCCTTCTGCACACGGATGGGTTGGGCTGGACAGAGGATGCTGGGGGGTAGGGAGCATCTGCCTGGCTGCAAAAGGGGCTGTCACATCCCCCAGCCCGACCCTGGCACTCAGAGAGGCCTCCCAGAGCAGGAACTGGACACCTTTGAGAGTGATTCCTCTGAGCTTCATGGTTTTAGGGTGCTCATCCCCTGGACAGAGATTTGGCCCCAGGCACAGCTGTTCCCTGCATCAATGTCCTCTCCTGCCTTGACTGTGGGTCAGATCTGCCTCCAAAGTTTGGCTCTTTCACAGGCCCTGACAGGGTTGGCAAAGAGGCAGATCCAGAGCATCCCCCAAAGAGGCTCCAGGGTCCTGCCAAAGGGAACAGACCTGAGCAAAAGCCCAAGATGAGCAACAAATTTGAAGGAGACACAGCCATGACCTTCACCTCCTGGGTGTCCTTTTAACCCCCTAGGTTAGAGGAGAGTGGTCTGGGAACATTTCCCAGGGGAAATGCAGCTCTTCCTGTCCCTAAGGTCCTCAAGTCACACCCAGCCACATCCTTCGAAGTAGCTACTCCCACATTCCACATTAGCAGGTGAGATGTTGCCATTCATGTCCCCACAAGGTCCCCAAAGAGTTTCTGGGCTCTAATGTCAGCTGATGATGCTCACAGTCAAGCTTTTCATCTTGGTGATAAAATGAGGTTTCAGGGGGAGAAAAATACATATGTACATCTCATCCAGTGCCTCCAATACTTGGCTTGTCTGGACCTACCATGTCACATCTGCTTCCTTCAGGCTGGAAGAATTTTAATTACAATTTCTACTGAGAACAGACAAATACAGACAGCTCTGGATGACTCCTCCAACATCAGTGCCCATGGACAGGGCAGCACATCTCCCCTGTGGATGGAGGACCTCTGGAGCAATAAGGCCCTGAAGTGCCATCATGCAGGTGATGTGCTTGAGACCCACCACATCTGCATGGGACACACTACCTCCCCAGCCCATCACCTGCACTGAGGCTTGTTCTTGGGGTGATACATGGCATAAACATGACCTGCTGCATCATCTCCAAGCAGGGCCAGAAGCTGGTGACACGGTGGCCTAGTAGGACTTGAGCCCATCCATCACTCCAAGAGGCTTAGCCCATGTTATTTATACTGAGCTGCCCAGCCAGCCTTTATCCAGCCCTGCCTTGCCCCACTTGCTCATGGCAACAGCACACCAGCCCCATGTCTCCAACTGGACCTGAGGGAAGAAGGACCATCCCTGCCACTGCTTGTGCCCACACCAACAAAGTTGTGGCCAAGCACAGCCTGTGCTGAGAGGGACTCATTTTGGGACGTCCCAAGCCTGTTATCTTCTTTCAGAATGAGCCTGGAAGCTAATCAGCTGTCCTGACTTCCACTGGTAGAAGCAGTAAAGCCTTGTCCTGGCCACCACCCCACCCTGGGACACCAGGATGGGTGAGAGATGCTGCAGCCAGGGACATTCCAGCTTTAGCATCATAGCATGTTTGGGATTGGAATGGAGCTTAGAGATCATCCAGCCCCAACCCCTGCCCTGGGCAGGGACACCTCCCACCAGAGCAGGTTGCTCAAGGCTTTAGCCAACCTGGCTGTGAACACTGCCAGGGTTGGGGCAGCCACAGCCTCCCTGGGCAACCTGGGACAGTGTCTCACCATCCTCACAGCAAAAACTTCTTCCCCATATCTAATCTCAATTTTTCTTTTTCAATTTATCCCCATTCCTCCTTGTCCTGTCCCTGCAGTTCCTAACCAAGAGTCCCCCTGCAGCTTCCCTGGAGCCCCTTCAGCTCCTGGCAGGTTGCTATGAGTGCTGATTTAGTGCTGACCCCAGCCTGCCCCATGCCAGCAGTGATTGCCAAGCCCTTCCCTCCTGGAGCAATAAGGAGCCCAAACTCCTGCTGCTCAGGAATGTTCCCTTGCTGCCACATCCTGGGACCTTAGGGCTGCACACTGTGGCCTGATGTGGCATGGAAAGACAGAGCTGCTTTATGGATGGGCAGGAATTGCTCAGGGTCCTACAGGAGATGAGTGGTCCCAACCATGGGCTTTTCCTCTCCTCACACCTCCTCTGTTTTGGAATCCCAAATCCCTGAGCAGCTCTGGAGAGCTGAAGATCACAGAAATTCACAGTGAGGTTTGCTCAAGACCCACTTCTCTTAAAAAGCTGTCAGGCTGCATCTCCCAGACGAACACGTTTGGCTTGGGGTTGGCCTGGCAACTGCTTTTTTGCTGCTTCATTAATTAATTGCTCAAGACAGTGTGAATGTTACATTGATACAACCACGTTTGGATGTAGTGGAGCACGTCTCCACCTCTGAACAGCCTCAGTCAGGGCTCTCTAAGTGCCACTGTACCAGCCCCTAGCCAGCCCAAGTAACACAGGCATCATGGACCAGAGGATGGCAGGAAGACCACCAACTTCATCCAGCACATGGAGAATAACCTCATGGACATGAGGCAAAGCCCAGCTGATGTCTTTCAGTGCAGCTAAGAACCACCCAGGGATGACCTGAGTCTGGGGAGTGCTGTGCCCATAACCCAAGCAAGTCTCAAACATCTGCTCTCCAGCAGTTCATTCCTGAACACCTATTTGCCCCCATGGATTATGCCCACCTGGAAGACCTCAGCCTTTCTGGAGGACACATTCCTCATGGGGGACCTGCTGGTTGTACAGCCCAGGCTGCCCAAGCTCAGCTTCATCCTTTCCTTGGGACCTGCTGGTTGTACAGCCCACTCTGCCCAAGCTCAGCTTCATCCTTTCCTCCCCAACCCTGGATGAGCTGAAACTTGGCATTTTCACATCCAGAGCAGCACCACATGTCTCTGTCCCAGCTGCTGGTGTAATATGCCACGTGCTGAGGCCACACTGAGCTGTATTTGTGCTGCTCTGGGGAGCTGTGTTGTGCTGCAGCCTCACGGATTAGTCATGGTAATCGTAGTAACC